GGAGTCTACACTGGCCAGATAACCTGGAGGAATACCAGGCCTCCACTTTTATGCTATGGATACAGGCTTGGGACTACACAGCAGAAACACCAACCTGAGATAGTGAGCTTCAGTTAGAAACTCATCTTTCAGAGCCTTTTCAATATGACAACGAATCCCTCTGTATGGCCAGCCAGGGGGAGCATGAGGTTGGTGGAAGTGAGCAGTTTCTCTGCACCATCAAGCATGCACATATCTGTCTAGATGTGCCCACAATCTATGAAACTCAGGCTTTGTTAGAATAATGGAATTCTTTGGTCCTCGGTTTTATGAAAGGCAATATTGTCACAATCCTGTCAACATCGACATTGGCAAATGACTTCAAGCTGGGACTAAGGGCACAGGGACAAATTAAATACTAGACGGGAAACTCTACACATTCCAAACTTCTAAGAGTCAGCTTCAAGAGCTCCAGCATCAGGCTAGATATAAGAGATCCAGATCAGGCTAGATGTTGGATCCATGAGATAAGGTTAAGCCATAAAAATGCCAGAGTTGAAGTTGAAAACTAGATATGGGTTTTTCTGACTGCCACACACACTGCAAAAATTTAAAGCAAATCTCCATCTTAATGGCTGATAAGTTGACTTTATAAATATGTACCAGAGATGAACCAAATAACTTGATTTTAGCCATATGATAGCCCTGGATTACCTTAGTGCGGACAACCAAAAGGAATAATAATTTCTTTCTAAGTCCAAATTCTAGTTGGTTTTATTAAACCCCAAACATCGTGGATACACTGCCAAGGAGTTCCATGATTTATGCTCTAGAAAAAGAGTCCTGGATAGACATATTCAGCTGATACGTTATGTTCTACATCTAGTTTGCCTTTGTCCTGCTAAACTCCAGTTTAGTATGGCTTGATACATATAGTTCATTGATAAGACACTGAGGACACATGGGAATGCTGATTGTGTAACTAAAATTGACTTCAGATTGTCTACACAGTAAGACTCACAGGTAAACTTTGTTAACATCTCTCAAGCAGTGCTGAGCTTACCCAGAATGGACGTTTCCAAGTTATCTACAAGGAAATCTGGGGTCAACTGCCAGGGTCAGGAGCAGGAAATGCCATTTGTTCAGAACAAATGATGGACCAGCAGCCTTCCCTATGACCGTGTCTAGACCATGTTTACAGTATGAAGGTGACTCTGGAAAACCTGTCCTTGGTCCATTCTTATGGCCAAAGACAATCACCAACGTGTCTATCTGGTCCCTGCCGCCATCAACTCAATCAAACTCTTCAGATTAGCCATGAATGAACAGACAGTATTCAGTCCATCAGCACGGCTTACATTGCATGGAGGAAACAACCCGTATTACCCTTTTTAAATTTTTTTGCAACAAGCTTAAGGCTCTGTTCACAAACTCCATCAACTGCCACACAGTGAGAATTTATGGGGAGATCTTAAACTACTTATGTAGTTGCAAAGTTGAAAAATTTACTGATCCTAATGGTAAGGCTTATTCACAAATTCAATACATTTTGAAATTATACTTCAAACGCAATTACTTCAAAAAAAGATTAACCTGCTCTCCAACAATATAAGAGCATTATATTCTAATGAAAAAAATTGGCACCAAACCAGTATGCTATTTTTCGAAAGAACAAGTGATATTAATGAAAAATATTGCCTAAAACGCATATCCTAACTTATCACAGAAATATAAAAGTTTATATTTTGAAAATATATACTGTATTAAAGTCTGTAAGCATTTCAACCAAAATTTGCAGAAATAACTAAGCAACACTTATCTACAACAAAAATATACATGCAAGACAACCCCAAATGGTTTCCCTTAAATATCTACAAAGGCAAAGTGTAGATTTTTAAAGATTATACAAAACCATTTACAGAGAATAAAATAAAATACTTAAGAAATCTCATTTAGAGTCTTAAATACTGTGTATATTAGTGAGAGTGTCTAGACTAATATATACAACAGATCTAAGTATCTGAATACAGAAAAACAGAAGATAAGCAATTCTGCATTTTAAATATTCACTTAGGAAGATTTGAAGATGTTTACATTTGTTTCTCTCTGTTAAAAAATTTCCACAGAAACTAGATTGGAAAATTTCATGGATGTGACTAAATTCCAAATTAAAAAAAAAGTTTACAAAATTTTTAAAACCAACATTTAACGGGAAATGCAATTCAGCATTCAGTGAAGGCTATTTTTAAATGTGGATATTCAGAGATACAGTTGCATTGTTCAAAGTCTATTGTGATTATTATTTTTCCATCCTTATACTAAACTTCACATGGGAAAAACATTTTCATGCTTCAGAGAGAACATTTCCTAGTTTAATCTATACCAAACAAGAATGATAGTTTAAATCAATTCTCTACTACTTTCTCATAGCTATCCCCATGTCATTCTTAGTGATTTTGAAGGCTGTTACCCACAGACATTATTTCTATGCTGGAAGGGGCACGTAAGTACATCAGCATTAGGCTGTGTCTTCCAAATGGTGAGGAGGTCTGACCACCTTAACAAAAGTTCTGCACAAAGTCCTCTCGGAATAGGGTTGTGAACTCAGATGGTCCCATAAGACACTGAGAGGGAGCCATCACCGGGGTTAGGGCAGAGAGGGAAGTTCCACTGTATGGCTAACAGGATGGGAGGGAGTGGATTGCCAGAAAGGTCCCTGACTAAAGAGGTACCCTCAATTGCCCACCCACAGCTATTCTTCCAAATCCAAAGGTAAACTGCAGGACAGGGCTGCAAAAAGGAGCCACAATTCCTCAAAGACCTGCCCAGGCTCTTGGGAGTGACTTATGGGGGAAGGTAGGGGAAAATGTTAGAGAGAGGGGAGAAAGGATCCCACACATAGAGAGGTGGCCCTGGGGTGGAAGATCAAAAATGAAAGTCTGAGCCCTATCTCCGGAAAGCTATTATGATAAACCCTGACACAACCAGAGGTCTCGTATTTTCCATCTCAGATCGATTTGCTGTAAGTTACCTGGAATTCACCCACACATTATCAAAACAACTACCCAGAAAGTGAAAAATTCAGTCCACCCTGCAGCAAACAGATTTCACCTGCTTTCACCCAATTGGTGGAACTGACTGCATGCAAACAACCAAAATACAGACTTTCACCACTCCCGTTACACCCAGGACCTGTGAATTAACAACAAGAATTCCACCTTAGAAATGGTTTCACATTCCTACCTTAATTATCAGAGATCCTTGAAATGTTTAGAAGTTTGGATGTGATAGTACATCCAAAGCTGAAGCATTTCTACTTCTTTCAAGCAGGGAATGAAGGTGGACTCCGATCTAAAAGAATTTCTAAACATCCCCTTTCTTGTCCAAGGAGAATCCTGACCCCACTTCGACAGATGCTGAATATAACCGTGCCCAATCAGAAGCTCAACAGAAAAGAAGGGGCTCTTTCTAATGAGAATTTAGCAGTAGTGAAGACACTGTCTGCCACAATATATAAGAACCAGGGTCATTTAAGGGTTTTGGAAAGTTCACATTTGCTTTCTCAAAGGAGGCGATAAGATCCAGGTAGAGTTGTGACGACAGGCATTTGGACAAAAGTAGGTGTCTCCCTACGGTAACTCCCTGTAGGACAGGTCTACTGTCCTTACAGGATCCTACATGGACAAAGGGGAGGGTGTACAGGACTTCAATTCCATCTTCCTCTGGCTGAAGGAGAGGTTTCCCCTCCTTCCTGACCCTCATGAACTCTTAAAGAAGACAGGCTTTCCAGGGAGGGAACCAAGGTCATCAGAAGGACCAGTAGTCCAGATAAAACTTGAGGGTCACTGCTTAAAGGACCATGTCTCTAGATCTGGTCTAGACAATCAACCTGTTCTTTGAAACTCAAAGCTCAGGGCCACGAATACATTCCACTTGTCCTGCCCAGGGCACCTGATTGCCTGCAGAAGACAAAGGACCACACAGAGTTACAGAACTGTCACCAGGACTCTCTTCTGAGCCTGCCTCACCTCCACCAGCTGTGCCCACCTCTTGCTGCCTTATTCCACTCTCTTCAAAGAAGGGCCAAGAAAGGCTGGTGCCCAACAGGAAAGGGGAAGAAGGGGAGGGCCAAGGGCCTTCAGGAACACTCAGGGGCTGTGATGGAAATGAAAAAAATCCCTCCATCCTGAGAATCTGAGAATCTAGCTTTCTCTGGGTGCTTGACTCATGGTTTAAACCTTAGAACACACCTCTTCCATTTGTCTGCTCTCAACTTGAGGTTTATACCTTTCTCCTCACCACTCAAAACCACAACTCCCAACGCCTCCTTCTCTGTAGTTAATCCAGGGACTTGAGTCTCATGGTCTAACACAGCTGTTGGAGCCCCCTTGCAGCCCAGGGGGCACTGGGGCAAGGAGATCTCAACCCTAGTCATTGCTCCCTATGTGCATAAAAAAACTAAAAAAAAGATGGGTCATTTCTGCTTCTGCGGGGAAAAATTCAGACCTCCAGACAGCTTAGCAGAGTGGGAACTCTTCCCCAACCCCCTGGAAGGCCAATACCAGAAATCACTGATCACATGGAAGCAAGAGACTGCAGAATCCAAGTTCAGTCATTTGCTCCAGAGAAAAAAGTCTTACTCTAGACAATATGCTATTCCCAGGTAGGGCCTATCACCACCCCTGCAACATCACACAATTTGGGACTCAGTCTGTTTCAGGATCGTTCAGGCTGAGAGGGCCCTTTATCTCCTTAAAGACAGCACAGGGAAAAGAAAACTCTCCTAAGATGTCTTCTACGGACAAACCTAAGGAACTAGTATTCTATTATTACAGCTGAGAACCGTTTTACACAGAGGTGCAGCGCTATTCCTTTTGTCCAAAGAAATCCTTCTGTTTTCATGTCTCTAAACTTTACTTCTACATAGTTCATTGCTAGAATGCACCAAACGGCATGAACCTTGTGTGGGATTTGGTCCAGGGCAGTATGAAAATAGTATCTGTGTGAACAACAGACATCGCAATATATAAACAAAAATAAATAAATAAAATAAGTCCAAGGAAAGAAAAAACATTTCCCTAGTAGTTTGTGTTTGCAAAACTAGCTTTACATATAATACACATAAATTATCAGAATTTCCACTTACATTGTTTTAAAAATATATATTTAACAAAACATTTCTAAATGTACAATATCTGGGTGTGTAAATCACTCAATTGGGTTTTAAGACCAAGCCGAAATAGTCACACAGATTTGCATCGGAGAGGAGACTGAAGCCAGGTGTGCACAATCATTTTGCTCATTGGTCTGGAAATTCCCTAAGATTGGTCGTCCTCTGACACCTGATCTAAATACAACTGGAGAGAGCCATGATGGCCAAGTCTCCAAGTCAGAGGCACTGTGTAGACACAGCCTGAGTCAGAAGAATGGGAAAGTGGTCTTCCCCTTCCTGGACCGTGATGGTGCATTTCAGCAAGTGGGGAAAGGACAGCGGCGCTTGGCAGAGCCCTGGGAAGATACAGCCCCGGAGAGCTCTCTGGCCAGGTAGGGCAGGGAGGGGGGGGAGGCCAAGTATGCTGCATTTTCCATCCATTACACAAAATCAAACCAATGAGGAGCAACCAAAGGACACGAGGAAATGGACACAACCCTAGGTATAAAGAGACACCTTGACAAACTCCTTGGCCGGGGCAGACACTGTGCTTTGGTTTCCAAAACACAGGGCAGAGCTAGAAGTTGGGGGCCCGTGAGCTGGGGCCCCTCAGACTTCATAAATTTTGTCCTGCAGGTAGCTGAAGAGGGAGTCCAGGCCTTTGGAGGAGCTCCAGAGCTGCTTGAGCATGAGGCATTCCTTCTCATTCACGTCTTCCAGCACCGATTTCAGGAAGCTCCGCACGAGGCATTTGGACTCCTCTAACACCTGGAGGGAAACAGACAGGCCTGATTAGCTGGACACCGGCGACTCTGCTCCAGAACTAGGCACCTGGCCCATGGGGCACTGGCCAACTTCCCATACTCACAGCCATATAAGGCTGCCTCCTCCAGCCTGGGCCTTCCTAGTCCCATGTATCCGGCACGGTCATGAACGGATCCCAGATGTGTCAAGACATGGAGCCCTGAGGCCCTGGGATGGCTCAGCGGGGCCCATGTCACCCCAGATCACTAGAGGCTTCCCTGTTACCCAAGGGTGACACAAACACAGAGTCCTTTTCTATAGGTGTAATGAAGAAGCGTGGGAGACACTGCTACCGTGATTCATTTTCATGATCTGTCGGCAGTAACTCAAGGATCACTGAGAACACAGAGTGAGACGATGACATGAACAAATGGTTCTCACAGTATCCATACAACCCAACCCAAGAGCAATGCTCCATGTTCAGGCTACAATGTTAGTAATTATGGTAGTAACAAGCAATAACACTCAAAGCTATCACCTTCATAATAATTATAGTAAGGAGTAAAAATCATAGGAATGAATAACAATCGTCACACCTATAGTAATAACTGTAGTAAGGAGGAATAATAATCATGGTAATTATGGTTACAAAGGTAGTAGCTGCTGCCAACAGCTATGATAAATGATCATAAATGATCTATGATTATTCATTACTAAACTATTGCATATATACACATATTATGTATTATATACATTATATACACATGTAAACACATGTATATATGTAAACACATATATGTGTATATGCACTATAATATATACATATTATATTATGTATATTATAATATATAATTATGTATATATATTATATATTATATACAATATATACATATTATGTATATATAGCATTACTCCTACAGTGTTATTACTATGATTATTACTACCATGATGGTAGTAATCCATCATCATAGTAATGAGTAATCATAGTAATGAGCAATAATCATAGCAATAAGTCACAGCAAAAAGCAATAATCATAGTAACAATAGTAATAATCATAGTAATGAGTAATAATCATACTAACAGTAGTAATAATCAGTAATGAGTGCTAATCATAGTAATAGTCATAGTGAGCAATGAGCAATAATCATAGTAACAATAGTAACAATCATAGTAGTGAGTAAAAATCAGAGCAGTAATAGTAATACTAATCATTGCAATGAGTAATCATTGTAGTAATATTTGTAATAACTATAATAATGCCACTATGATCACCATTAACAAACAGGATCTAAGAGAAGTACTTTTCCTGAATTCCTTCATTTACTTCTCATGATAACCCTGCAAGTAAGTAGTCTTTTGATCCCCATGTTACAGATGCAGAACCCAAAGCTCCATGATGTAAAGTGGCCCAGGGTTGCCTGACTACTGAGGGGTGAAGGAGTAGGAAAACCAGGTCTGGCTGATTCCAGCAGCCACGCAGCTGCTGCCCTCTGGCAGAGGTACGGCCAGAAGTGAGGCCTTTGTGCACACTTTGCTGGCCTCCACCAGCCTCTCCTGAAATGCCTTCAAACAGCAAGAAGCAAGATGGCAGCTCCCGAGCTCCAGCAGGCTGGAAGAGGCTGCAGTCTCACTCCCCTGCCTGGTCTGGAGGCTAAAGATGGTGGGATGAGCTGCTAGACCCAGCTGGCTCTTTCCCCGTGGAATGACCTCGAAGAGCACCATCTCCCGAGGCCATGGGCCTCACTCTGCTGGAGTAGTTCCTTTCTCAGGAAACACCCCTAGCACTCCTGAATTCACAGCTGTTGGCAGCAGAGACCTCCTTGCAGCATTCCTTGTTCTAAAAGCCTGCCCCCTCAGGTGTCCTTCAACAGTTGGATTCACCTGAGGGCCTCTTCCCTGCCACAGAACAGGTCAAACTCCTCCCTGCAGCTTCCAGGCCAGTCTCCCACCGTCCTTTTCAGTCGCACGTTTCCTGGCATTCCCCTGCCACCCGACGGCATGCCGCTGCCTACACTCCCTGTGATTTCCTGTTTTGAGTGCCCTCACTCTCGCTGCTTCCTCTGCTTAGAATTTCTACCTGTCTTTCCATGAAGATGACCCCAGGGTGATCAACCACCCCTGTTTGCCCAGGACTAAGGAGCATATGGTTTGGCTGTGTCCCCACCCAAATCTCATCTCGAATTGTAGCTCCCATAATTCCCACATGTTGTAGGAGGGACCTGGTGGGAGATAATTGAATGATGGGGGTGGTTTCCCCCACACTGTTCTCCTGGTAGTGAATAAGTCTCAAGACAGCTGCTGATTTTATAAGGGGTTCCCCCTTTCGCTTGGCTGTCACTTCTGTCTTGTCTGCCGCCATGTAAGACGTGCCTTTGGCCTTCGCCATGATTGTGAGGCCTCCCTCAGCCATGTGGAACTGTGAGTCTATTAAACCTCCTTTTCTTTATAAATTACCCAGTCTCAGGTATGTCAGCAGCGTGAGAACAATGGGGTTTCCTGGGATGCAGGATTTTCAGTCCTCAAACCAGGACAGTCCCAGACAAAGTGGGGCAAACTGGTCACCCTAGTCAGTAGTAAGATTAAAAGAGAATCCACGTGAAGAGAGTGAAGAGATCAGCAATGCCTGTGGCCCACGTGAGTGTTCACTAACAACGTGGACACTGCCACCCCCCACCAACACCGTCACCCTGAGGGCACTATGTGTTCAGCCTGCAGGGGGCAGGGCTTAAACACAGTAGCTGCCAATAGACAGGGATGAGGCCCAGCAGGAGAAGCATGACAGCCGGGTGTGAACACAGGCAGAGGGAGACAAAGAAGGGAGGGGCAAGGGTCTGGCCCCAAAAATGCACCCAGCAGCTCCCCGTTTCTCAAGCACAGAGCGAGTCCTAGAGCCTCAATCTCCCAAAACGCCTCTCTCAGCTCCGGAACCGGCCCTGGGGCTGCAGGAGTGGCCTTGCCTCCACCTTCTCACAGGATATTCCCCTGCTGTGCTCTGAGTGACTGCGATCAGATAAAATCAACACTTAATTAAAAACCACTGCCTCTGCGGAGGTGTTATTTGTTTATGTATTTTTCAGTGCATCTTCAAACAGTGACATTTAAATGTGCCGAGCAGTCGGTGGAGGAAAGAAATGAAATAGAGGCACGGTGTGTACAGCTTTCTCTAGTCATCTCCGGACGGGTTCAATACTTTTTGTCCTTATTTGCCTTTGCTTCTCGTTTCTTTGAAAGCTCTAGATGTTTCGTGCTTCTGCATGTGTTTAGGACTTTCTTTGAAAGCAGTGACGCTACCCTAGAGTATCCATTTCTCCTGTGAGGTTTCTCTGCCTGGAGATGATGGAGAATTTGTAATAATGCTGACTGTCTCCCTCTGATTGAAGCTGTCAATACTGAGAAGAGGCATTTGTTAAGTTGCAAAAGGTCTTTTGCTTATTCCCTGTGTGACCTCTGGCAAGTCAACGAAGCCCTCTGAGCCTTGCTGTCCTCATCTGTAAAATGGGTCTATCATAAGGACAAGCACGCAGGAGGCGCAGGAACTCACCACGGCACTGCAGGATGCCATCTCCTTGACCCGCAGCATGACCTCCTGGCTGAACGTGGTGGGCCAGAAGACCTGCGACACCAGCCCCCTGCTGCAGGCCTCCTGGGCGGTGAGCTTCCGCCCACAGAACAGCATCTCATTGGCCTGAAAAAGCAAAAGCAGGCGAAGACTGAGGGCCTGGAGGTCCACCCATCTCCCTCAGCTGGTCCAGGGCTTGCCACCTGCAACCATCCCAGTTCTGGAAGGCATCTCACCTTCCAGATCCTTATCTTCTTTTGGGGTCAGATAAGCTTTGGGAATTGCATGGGAATGTTTGTGTCCACGAGCAGAAGGTTCACAGCTTTCATTAAATTCCCCAAAGGAGCTGCGTATTTACTGTGTCTCTGTATGCCCCATGCCCGTCCCCATTTCTGGCGGCACACACATGGGCATGGGTTGTGGGTTGGGTACATTTCAGAGCCGATGACCCAGCCGTGATGACGTCATTGGCACTGAAATGTACTCAGCTCACAACAGCCCAGGGATAAAGAGACGCTCCCTTCTGGATAATAAAGCTCAAGTAGGGTTTGCAGCTGCAGGTGTGGTGGAAGAGTCTGTCTTCCTCTCTGACTGCAGGCCAACATCAGTGAGCCCCAAGGACCATCCATGGCTGTGTCCCTGCCTGTGGAGAGCTGGGGCCACAAGGAAAGGAGAAACAGGAGAAGAGAGTGAGAGAGAGAAAGATTAAGGGAGAGAGAGACAGACCTGATGGTACTTGAATTCCCAAGCCCTGTCTCCCCAAGGGAACTGCCACTTCTGGACTTTCCAGCTGGGAGAACCATTAAGCTCCTTTTTAAAAAATTGAACTGGTTAAAGCGCTTCCATCACTGGCCGCCAAAAAGGTCCTGAATAACACCACAATACCAAGGCAGAGATATGCATCTCTCCCAGCGGCTCAGGGCTGGGCAAGGGCACTGCCCAGTCATGAAGGGCAGAGAGCAACCTTCCCTGGGCTCTGGTGACCTGGGATATCTCTGTACCACACTCCCCACAGAATTTCCTTCTGCTTTGAAATTTGCAGCTGTCATACAAGGTCTGGGAGAAGTTACACAGATAAGGTCCCAGGCACAGACAGAGAACGTGATAGTAATAAGCTGCAACTTACAGACAGTGACTGATAATTAGGGCGTAATGGTCAAATCCATGTGATAGAGTCCGCACGGCTGGCAACGCCTTCCCCATCTGCTCTCCTCTCCTGCCTCTATGTGCTAGCTCCTCTTGGGCTGGTGTTAAAATGCCAGGCACTCTCAGGCCTCCAGAGCTAAGCGTAAGTTCCCCCACTTGGTTCTGGTTGTCACCGATGGTTCACGATGACCCAGAGGACAATCTTTCACGCCAGAGTAGAGGGCAATCTTTTATGTCGATAATAAGTCTTAGCATATGCTTGCTTGGTTCAAGATCTGAACACAAATGGAGGCCTTGATGCTTTCTGAAGAACACCTCAGTCCAATGAACTCAATAGAAGTTCACTGGGAGAAGTGGCAAATGGCCATATCTGCTCCCATGAACCTGGATTCAGATCCACCGGAAGCTACTCCCTGGCAGGTGCGAGGTACAAGGCAAGGCCTCCATTCATACGGAAAGGCTCCTGGCCACCCCTCAGACACCACACCCTGCAGTGCCCTCTCTGAAGAGAGAACTTAAGGGTATCATCCACAAGCCTAAGGATTCAGAGAGAAAGGGGATTCTTGAGTGGAAGTAGGGTGTCCCTGGTGAAGACCCATAACATTTACAAACAATCCACTCTACAGCTAAGAAAACAAGAACATAAACAGTTTAGTCACTGATGCGTGACTCTGGGCAAGTCACAACGTCGCAAAGCCACAATCTTCTCTGCTGTCCAAGAGGCATCATGACAGCACCAAGCTCCCAGCGCAGAGGCAAGGTTAACTGAGAGGTGCTTAGAACGGGGCCTGCTATGTGCAGAAGGGCTAGCAGAAATGTGCTATTTTTGTTGTGGTTGGTGATGTCGTTTTCAAAGTGGAACAAGGAGGAATATGAAGGAAGGAAAAGGGACACTGCTATCAGCCTCACTACTGTAACAAAAGCAGGACTTGAGAGACGAGAAGAATGAGCTTGCAGGCCCTCAGATGGAAACAACGGGGGATGGAACTGCAAAGGAAGACAAGGAAGAAATCCCGTGTAAAAGCCCCTGCCCTTCCACAGGTGCTTGCCCAAGTGCAGCAGTCACAGTCCTGAGAATGTGCCGAGCTGCCTCAAGAGCATGAGCGTAATGTCAAAGGTGGGTGTTTACCTTCCAATAAAATCAAGACGTGGAAAGAAACATCCTGGAGTCTGTTCCTAAAAAGGAACAATTCACAATAGCTGTGGGGCCACAATGGACTATTCTCTTTTGAAGAGAGAACTTAGGGTATTATCCGGAAGCCTAAGGCTCCGAAAGCCTAAGGACTCCGAAAGCCTAAGGCTCCGAAAGGGGATTCTTGGTGGAGGCAGGGCGTCCCCGGTGAAGACCCATAACATTAACCAACAACCCACTCTAGAGCTAAGAAAACAACAACAGAAACAGAGTGTAGTCACTGACTTGTGACTCTGGGCGAGTCATTTAATGTCACAAAGCCACAATCTTCTCTGCTGTCCAAAGGCATCATGACAGCACCAAGCTCCCAGCACACTTTGCAGGGCTGGAGAGGCAACACTCGGCCTTTTCTCTGGGGTTTCAGGGCTGGGCCCTGTCACCTAAGGGGTGCTTCTCTGGCAGTTTTGTGGGGTCTCCTGTGACCTATGGCATCTGCTGGCAGATGCCCCCAGTGGAACCCGGGTAGACCTTGCTGAGGCAGGCACAACACAGAAGGCCCAGCACCCTCCCTGGCGTGCCAGGCTCGCAGGGGCCACCCCATGCCACTGCCATGGCCTCGTCCCTCCCCTCTCCCCACCATCCTCACCAGGACCCAGCCACACTGACCTGACCACACTCAACCCAGGGCCCGCCAGGCCCACTCCCTTCTCCGTCCTTCCCTTCATGCATCCTCTGCCTGGAATTCTTGCCTCTGTTCAAATGTCACCTGCTCAAAGGGGTCCTCTCTGAACAAGGTGGGACCTCCTTTCAAGATACTGAGCTGGGGAATAGAAGGTCTGAAGAACAGGGTTTTTGTTCACTCCTGGACTCCTGGTGGGTATGGCAAGCTGGGCACTCAGTGGATTTGCAGCATTTGAAGAAAGGGAGAGAAAAAGGGAGCGGACTGGCTAGAGGGGGCTGGAAGGAGGGGACTCCCTGAGAACCTTGTGAGATCCAGCTGGGACCCGTGCTTATGAATAAGTATTAGCCCATCGGAGCTGAGTTCAGAGTTCGTGGCTGCTCTGAACAGCAGAGGCTGCCTGAGAGTCCACAGGGGAGGAGCCGTCAAAGGAAGCCCAGATGCAGGGGCATGGCACCTCCAACGCTTACTTGGACCAGCTACACGTTCGGAACCCCTCCCTGGTCCTGACAGCCAATCTCAGATTCACCCCTCATCTGAGGGATGAATTGAGGGACCTATTTAATAACAGGCTGGGTTTGGAGCACATACAGTGGAACCAGCCAGTCCGTGCTCAAATCCCACAACTGGCATTACCACTGCATGCCTTTAGACAACGCACTAAACCTCTCTAGCCTCAGTCTCCACATCTGCAAAATGGGGATCACAGCTGTCCTGCCAGGGGTGTGGACTGCATTGACAGCCCAGCCCAGCACACAGCAAGTGCTTCCTACGTGCCAGCTGTCATCACTGCTCTCCCCTGTCCAGACTTGCTTCTGGATGTTGGTGTAGAATCTGACCACAGCTTACAGTGGACTCTGCCACCTCCACTGGACAGTGGCTGTCTGCGCCACCTGGTGACACAGCTACCTTTTCTGAGCTTAACGTTCCATCTGTAAGATGGAAATCGCAACCATTTCCACACGGGGTGGAGACCGCTTTGTATTCAGTGAATCCTTTCCCTCTTCTTGCTGGACATGCACTGGGCTACATCTCCCAGCCTCCCTTGCAGGCGCACGTGGCCGGAGGCTGAGTCATGGTCGATGGCACATGAGTGGAGGTGAAGATGCCCCTGCAGGCCTGGCCCGTGAAGCCCTACAGGGCGATGCTTCTGGCTCTCTCTTCTCTCCCATTGGCTGGAAGTGAGAGCACATCTACTGGATGGGAGACACCTGGGTCCCCAAATAGTGTGGGTGACTCCTACATCTATGCTGGACCACACAAGAGTAAGAAGGAAAGTTTTGTTGTTCAAGCCACCGAGACCGTGGGCTGCTTGTTACAGCACCCATTCAATCCTAAGACACGCCCTCAGGGGGCTGGAGTGAGGAGTAATTGAGACACCATGCAGAGTGCATGGGCCATACACTGACATCATCTTCTCAGGCCAGGCTACTCCATCCGGCACTGATGGCGTGGAGGATCCGAGGCAGCCCAGCCAGTCCTCAGGCTGACAACACCCTCAGGTTTCTAGCCCCATGAAGAACCCCTAAACCCAAGGGAGAGGAAGGATCCTGCTGGGATCCGAATCCAGGTATCACAGGAGGCTTACCAGTGCGACGCCCAGGATCTGGGGGAAGGTGTAGGAGGAGCAGCCAGCAGGCGTGAGGCGGATGGTGGCGTAGGGCGTCTGGAACCAGGCCTTCTCACTGGCCCACACGATGTCACAGAGGGGCAGGATGGAGGCGCCCAGGCCCAGGGCTGGCCCATTGATGGCCACCACAATAGGCTTCTTAAACTGGATAAAGGCCTTCACAAAGTCCCTGGGAGAGAGAGAAGATGCTCTTGAACAGGTAACTACAGCTTGCCAAGCCCCACTGGAACCCTTGACTCTCCCAGGTGCTGTGACGCACCCTCACGTCGTCAGGGGTGAGGTACCAGGCAAGGGCCTCATTGCCTGGACATGGAACCACCAGCTGTCAGATTTTCTGAGGTATACTGATGGGGTCACTGCATGTCCTGGTGTGCTCAGATTGCCCCGGTTCATGCCCCGTGTCCTAGCACAGAACCCAGTTACCATCTCCTTCCATTCTCAAAAGCCATGGCTTAGACAGTAAGTTATATGGGCACCCTAGATATTGACAGAATTTGTATATATCCTAAGGAAGTCAACCCCAATATTAAGGTGCAGAACCAGAACCAAAGGGAAGGTGTAATAGGGAGGCATATTTCAACTCAAAGAGAGAAAGAATGTTCTACATCTCTGGCCAGAGGTGAATGGAGTGGCTTTGTGGGATTCCTGGAGGTATTTGCATTTTAGCTCAATGATTATGCTGGGTGATGTTGTAGGGGGACTTCAAGCTTCCGATGGTGGGTACATGTTGGGAATGATGACATTTAAGATTTCTTTAAAAAGTCAGACTTAGGATGGTCAGATTCTGAATTACCTGCAGGGATGCCAGAGTCCTCAAGGGTGGTTCTAAAACGCTGAATACAGTCTATGTGTTAGGATGGCTCTGACTAAAATCTGTAGGCAGGAGCTAGAATCACGGCTACAAGACGGGGCAATATTTTTTCTCCCTGCCCTTTTGCACTGAGCAATGCATGTACCTTTACCAATTACACAGAGCCATCAGCAGTGACCTCTATTTCCTTTGCCTCAGAAGGCTTTTTGCTTTTTCCTGGTTGCTATGTATGATCTATAAAATTTTAATATTCATCTGGACATGGAGGAAAGACACGAGATGTGTAGTAAAGTGTGCATCCTTCATTACTCTCAGAGATATTAGAAACCATAAGAATTCACAAGAATAAAATCCAAATGCCCATGACCTTGATCTGACCTTGGCCTGCCTCAGCTTACCTCTCCAGGTTTCCTTCACGTCACTCTTGCCCCCGCTCACTATGCATGAGCCTCACAGGCCTCTGAGAGTTCTTAGAAAACACCATTATCAAAATTTGCAATCACCCTAACTAATTATTTGCTTGTTTTGGGATTCTTCCTCCCCTTTAGCTCCTTAAGGACACCCAGACGTCTGCCTGGGGCACTGCTCAGCTTCCATCAATATTGGAATTAGCACTCAGTAAATAGCTGTTGAGCAAATACATGAGTCTCCCAGAACAAGAGCAAAGACTGCAGAGGCGTGGCAATGGTGAACCAGCTCTTCACCAAACCTGTTTTCCCTCTTCTTCCCGGGGCTACTGGCCGGCCACATTTCCCATCTCTGACTGCATGTGGCTATGACCAAGTCACCAAGTGCTGGCCAAACAAGATGTGAGCAAAAACCCACCCATACCACTTCCAGGTACACACCAAACCTCCCACCATGGCGTCCTCCAAGCCCACTCATCTTGGTGAGCACAACAGTCCTGGAAGACATTTGCTGAGCAGGATGGAAGAAGTCTAGGTTCTTGAGTCATATAGGCTGATGGTGACATGTATTTTAGGCTTATGTATCTGAGAAGTACATTTCTATAAATGAGGTTTACTTGTTACATCAGCTAATACTTAACTAATACAAAAGTTGAGGCCGGGCACGGTGGCTCATGCCTGTAATCCCAGCACTTTCGGAGGCCGAGGTGGGAGGATCACAAGGTCAGGAGTTCGAGACCAGCCTGGCCAATATGGTGAAACCCCGTCTATACTAAAAATACAAAAATTAGCCGGGCACGGTGGTGGATGCCTGTAGTCCCAGCTACTTGGGAGGCTGAGGCAGGAGAATCGCTTGAACCCAGAAGGCGGAGGTTGTAGTGAGTCAAGATCGGGCCATTGCACTCCAGCCTGGGAAATAAAGTGACACTCTGTCTCAAAAACAAAAAAAAAGTCGAGCTGATTTATCTCTTCTCAATCAATAATGTTCCTTTCCCCAACTCTTATAGAAAGTTGTGGATATCATAATGACATACTGGGATCAGATTCAACTGCGAGAAAGCCTACTTAATGTTCTGCCGGGGTAGGAGGTATCTCACAATCCATGTAAGTCGTCACGAAAGTATGCGCCTCTGACTCAGGCTTGAGGCATCACACTGCCTGCGATAGTGGAGTTAGCCCTCAGTCCCTGCTGGTCCCCAAAAGGTACTACTTCAGAGAGGGAGTCCCGGCTCCACGACTTCTGATGCTCGGTGTTCCAGTGGCCCAATTCCCGACATCATTTACTTCCTAACCTGTGGTGAGGTTTTAGGTTAGGTCACTGGTTTTTGCAAGTGCGTTTCACTGAAAGCAATTTGGGGTCTGCAGGGGATATGGACATTTTTGTAGAATCCTTGGGGGTTTGGATGATTTTTGTCAAACATCCCATTCCTGAGTGACCTCATACAATTCCAGAGTCTTAGATCTCAGAGGTGGGAAGGACTTTAGGACTCATGGAGCCATATCTTCCACTCGGTGCAGAATTCCCTCCATCACATCCCAAGGATGCATCATTCTGCCTCTGTTGGATGTTTTTAATAAAAGAGGGTCCACGCCTGTCAAGACGGCCTCCCTGCCGTGGGTCTCTCTGATACTGTTGCCACCTTAGCTCCGTCAACCACATGACATCCTTCAGGAATGGACTGCAGCCCTTGTGACTTTCCAGAGCTTTCTTCTGCAGGACCCCAGAGCCTGTCACTCTGTGGTTTCCAACCTGAGATCCGTGCAAGGGAATCAGGGAAGCAAGGGAAAGGGGGGCAGGCATGCAGAGCTCTGACCCTCTACCCCAGCCCCTCCTGTGTCATCCAACCCGCCCCACACTTCATTTCCTTGATATGAAAATGTCGCCTGATGTTTAATGAAGGCCACCCCCCATCCTCTTTCTCTCACCTCGGGCAGTAGATCTCTATCACTGGGAGCCAAGCAGCAAACAGGATATTGCATTACGGGCCCTGCAGCTCAGATATCTGATCCTGCTGCCATGGCGGGGCTGCGTGGGGAAGATTGGACCCCGCCTTCCCCCACATCCAAGGCCATCAGGCTGACTTGACCCGCACAGCTTCCTTTGCTCTACCGGAGCCCTGTGGCTTCTGCCTGACAAAGCTGCTGGGCTGCACTGATGTGGCAGAAGGAGCAAGAACTTCAGCATCTGAAAGACTCAGAGTGAAGTCTCAGTTCTGCCCCTAACTAATGGTGAGACCTTGGACAGGGTGCCTGGTCTCTGGAGCCTCATTTTCTCCCTCTGCAAAATGGGAAAATCAACGATGTTGCCCCAGATGGGGAGTTGAATAAGAATCAAAGGAGACGTTCCATGCAGGGTGTCAGCCCAGTGCGGACATGCGGGGAGCACGCCATCCCTGCTGCTATTAGTATGGGGAACGCATCTGCTGGGGAGGGTGGACAGAGTCCTCATTCAATTCTCAGATTGGTCTGTGAGCCATTCTCTTAGGCTACAGGTGACCCAGAAGCAAAACTCTGCTCACAGGAATGTCTCAATTTCCCCTGGAGCAATCGGCATTTCTCTTGTGACCCAGTTACCCACTCCCTTTAACCAGAGCCATGGAGGAGAACCCTCCCCCAGCCAAAGCTCAGAGCCAAGTCAGCCAGTACAGAACCAAACAGTGACCACCATCCTGGGGCCCCCAGAGAGATCCCCAGCGGCCACTCCTCAGTCTACAACCCACCCCTTGGTCCAGGGGCCCACTCCCTGGTCTTAGACTCAGCTTAGCTAGAAGTCATGGCTGGAAGTACCAGCAGTAGTGACAACAACTGTAATAATAAGTCCAAGTACGTATTAGTGCCAGGAATAGCCCAAGTGTTTCACATAGAGTATCTTTTTATTCTCCATCCTAGCAACCCACCAGTGAGGCCAGTACCATCATTTTGATTGTTCCCATTTTCTGGATGAGCTAATAGGCTCAGAGAGATCTGTGACACACCCAAGGCTCCACCACCACCAAATGCAGAGGTAGCTTTGAGCTCAGGCAGCCTGCTTCCAGGTGCCACATGGACAGCTGCTAGCCAACACTGCTTTCCTGAATACCTTGTTTGAACAAGCCACCTCGTCACCAGAGCTTTGCTCTGCAGGACCCCAGAGTCTTCCCCCACAAGTTCAGAGGAGGCAGCCTCTTTTTGGGATGGATCCGGGAAAGAGGCTTCTGAACAAACCACCTGAGCTCTCCCCAAATCTGCTAGTTCATTCATCAAACATTTGCAGAGTGATGAGTCCCAGTCACCAGTCCTGGTCACGCGTATGCAAGTTTTCTTTAGGCAAGGATGAGGAGGGGGTGAGAGTACCACTCACGGGGTGCTAAGGCCATGCGGCATGCCTGGTCAGCCCTATTAGGAGCGTGTCCCAAGAGAAGAGATGGGGGCAGTTCGATGTCCAAAAAAACATTTTGGCCCTGCTAGATTTTGAAGGAAGTTCTTTCACAAGAGATTTCTTGTAAGTATCACCTAGAAAACCGACAGGAGCGGGCGCAGAACTTGCAGCATGAATCAAGCTCCTTTCAAAGACAGTGCACTTCCTTCAGGACACCCCTCTGGAAATCCACAAAACATTATCTGCAGAATGCTTCGCGGCCACCTTTTGTCCCCAACTCCAGAGTGTGGCCTCCGAGGCAGCACTCCCAAGCTGGGAGAGCTGGAGATGCCCTGAAAGAGTTTGGTGCTGATGGGCGAGCCACGGTCTCTTTTTAACCCCAGGAGCATCTGTCTCTACACAGCCACATCTTCTGCACCTCCATCCATCTTTGCTTGTGGTTCTCACCGTTCTCATGCCTGTATCACCTCCTTCTTCACCCTCATCCCCTTAATAATCACCTTTTCTCTCTTGCATAAAAATAAGAATCTTAGGTTTCTCTTAGTGCTTTCAATCAGTGGTGCAGAAATCTGGTTAGCACAGGGCAGGTGCTCTCAACCCTGGCTGCCGCTGAGAACCACCAAGGACGATTCACATCAAAAGATGCGCTGGCCCCACCTCAGCCTAAATAACCCAGAGTCCCCTGGGGGTGTTGCCAAGCATCTAGGTCTTGGGAATGCTCCCTTGGGTCTCCCTGTGCTGTCAGGGCTGGGGACCAGTGGTCCAGGGGACATCTCCTTTCCCATGCCCTCATCCTTGCTAGCTTACGAACTACCAACTTCTGCTCCCTTTGAAGCATCAAGAAGAATTCCTCCTGCCTCCGCCATCTTGCCCTGTGCTCTGCCTAAGGGGAGCTCACTTGCTCGCTGAGATGGCAAATGTCTGAATTCCACTGGCCGTGTTTCCCCAGAACTACTCAGCTGGGAAAGTCAGGAGCCAATTTGGGCCGCGGCCCCAGCCACGTTCTCCTACAGTTGATGTTTTCAACCCCATCTGCCTCTGACATCTCTTTCTCCATGAATTTGGTTCTCAAGAGTCCAGAGGTGCATAGATATCACGCTGCAGACCCCAATGGGTAGAGGCTATGGGGAGAGGAGGGAAGGTTTTGCCCCTCAGCTTTGATACATCCAAGACACAAATGCAGGGACAGGCCAGAGAGATGCCACCCTCACCAGAGAGACTGGGCGTGCAAAGCCAGAGGAAGGAACCATTCGGTGGGGGTTCTGGGGAAATCCATCTGAGACCTGACCCCCTCGATACCCTGTTTCTGTTCAGCTTCCATCCCTTCAGTGACCCAGCTACAATACCTTATTCCTGCATGCAGGAATGACCCCCTCGCCCACCCCACGCCGGGACAAGCCTCATCACTGTCAACTCAGGGCTGGCCTGGGAGTCCCACCTTGCCTGCAGCTGCCCAGGATAATCTGTTAATAGACCCCATCAGCAAAGGTGAACAGCTGCCCACCAGAAGGAGCAGCCATTGAGGATGCTGGGCGACGTCAGGATGGGCCCTTGCCTAAGAGGAGAGCCTGAAAAGATGAGGCTCTTTGAGCTGCTAATGATTTCCTTCCAGGCTCTATTAGTTTCCCAGGGAATAGTCACCACAAACTTGGGGCCTAAAACAATCAAAAGGTGTCCTCTCATAGTTCTGGAGACCAGAACTCCAAACTCAAGGTGTTGTCAGCAGGGCTGGTTCCTTCTGGAGGTTCTAAGGGAGAAGCTGTCAGGCCTCGCTCCCGGTTTCCGGTGGCTGCTAGCCATCCTTGGAATTCCTTGGCTTGAGGTTGCATGACTCTAAGCTCTCCCTTTTCTGTCATATCACCTTCTCCTCTGTCTGTGTCCCCTCTCACAAAGTAAGTTCTCTGCGTCTGGCGCCCACTCCAACCCAGGATGATCTCATCTCGGGACTCTGAACTTAATTACATCTGCAAAGAGCCTTTTTCCAAATATGGCCACCTCCACAGGCTCCAGGGACTGGTACACGGACATATCTTTCGGGGGCCACGCTTCAACTCACTACAAGGGGTCTGGACGCTAATGAGCTGCGCATGCATGGAGTGAAAACCAGGGGCTGTGTCAGCCAGGTTTCCCTGGGCTTCTGGAAATCCAGCTAACGCCTCCACTGAAATTTGTAAACCAGATAAAGACCATGACTGAGGCTCCACAGGTCACAAAAACGGGCACTCGGTTCTCTGGGTGGGCTGTGGTGGCCTCATGCATGAGAGAAGCACGCTGGAAACGCTGCGGTCCCCCTTCGACACATGGAAAGGCAGTAGCGAGAGGGCATAGCTGGGACCAGGCAAAGCGCAAACCGTTTGGGCACAGCCGGGAAGCCTGTGCCTCCATAACCACAACGCCTTTCACGTAACAGTGCCCAGGCTCATTATGTCTCTTCTGGCAAGAATTCTGCAACAGCAGACATGGGTATTTTGGAGTAGGGGCTCCAATGGCTGCTTCACCCTGAAGAGGGACTCAGAATTCCACACACGAGTGCATCCCAGCATCACCTCTTGGAGACAACACAACCCCTCAAAGCCCCCTATAGCCACGTGGGAATCGGCCTCCCTGTGTGTGGCTCTTCCACAGAACTATGGAGACTGGAGGCCCCAGAAAATCCCTGACTTACGGCCTGAGGCTCTGTGACACCATGTGGAATAAATGTTCCTTCTCATGCGACCAGGGGCATTCCTGAAATGTGACTTGTCTGATTCCTAAGCAAGATACAGCAGTCCCTCCCAGGTGAACACTGGTTGACAGCTGTAAACCAGCTAAACAGCCGCAGTGTCTAGAAATGACACTCACTTGCTTTTGATATACTAATAAAGAATGGGGAAATAACTGCCCTTCAGTGTTCCAAAAAGGTTCTCGTTGTTGAGTCACCCCCAGGACTTTCGCCCGGGGGCAATTAGAAAGGGGGGAATACCCTGTATCCCGTTGGGTCTGCAAACACACAGCTGCCCAGGGAACCCCTCCATCAACCTCCCCACTGCTGCGTTACGGCAGTGCTGGGACACACAAACAACCAGACAACCAGACACTCTCCCCATCAGGCAAGGGGCGGGAGTAGTGTGGATAACACATGGCTACGACCAGACTCAGGCCTCGATAGCAAATAAAAAATCTTTCTGATCAAAAGAATGAAAGTGGGATCTAATCTAGAGGGCAAAGCAGCCCTAATTTTGGCAGGACTATGGTTATAGATGAAAATATAGGATGCCCAATTAAAATGTGAATTTCAGATAAACAACCAACATTTCTAAAACGTAAGCAGGTCTCAAATATTGCACAGCATGTACTTATGCTAAAATTAAAATTCCCGGTTGTTTGAAATTCAAATGTAACTGAGCAGCCTGTATTTTCGCTTGGCAATCCTAGGCAGGATCCCAAGGTGCGGGAACAGGAGCACAGCTCACCTGATGGCTTCTGCAATCCGAGTGCTCTCCTTTCGCCGGTCGCTGGACAACCGGCCAATTAGGTAGGAATAATCCAGGCCGCTGCAGAACACGCTACCCACTGCGCTGAGGAGCAGCAGTTTGCTGTCGTCTGTGGCTGCGTTGCAGAGCGCTCGCCGGACTTCTTTCATGATCTGCCAGCAGAGATGAATTTGCAGGGATGTTAAGTGACTGTCCTGTAAGCCTGGGGCTTTCAGACAGCAAGACAGCCAGAGGCCTGACCCCCTGAGGGGAGAGGCCAGGGAATCTGCTTCTGCCTGTGCAGGGAGCCTCCCCTGAGTGCAAGCATGAGTCCAGAGCAAGGAGAAAAACACTTATCACAGCCAAAGCCCTCCAGCACCATCCCCAGAGCAGGCAGAAGAGTGCTAATAAGGAGGCAGTGTGGTCACCGGCTGCGGATCTGGAAGCCTTGCCTGGAGTTGCTCAATCCCTGGTAAATCTCTGCAAATCTTGTTCTGGCATTTGCTTATTTAGCCCTTTACAAGACGTGGAAAAAATCCGTGCACAGCCCAAGTAAGGGATGTAAGCCATCTCTAGATGACTCAATTTGATTATTATACACCCTTGCTCATCTTTCATCCAGCTAATACCCCACATGGTTTGCAGGTGCCACATGGCAACTGGCCTTTGGCATCAGATCCAGACCTGGGTTTAATGTCCCACAGGAGTTCCAAGCCCCTGGTCCAAATTCTGGCTCTGCAACTTACTAGCCGTGGGACCTGAGCCATGCTGATTATTCATCCTCAGTGTCCCCATCTGTAAGTGGGTGGACCCACTCTCAATGTCTCCAGTGAAGAATAAGTGAAAGGAACGGTTATGCTATGGCCACCTGCAGGTTCACATTCCTGGGAGGTAATGATGAATTCTGGATAAAAGGCATTTTGTTCCTCCTCTGCATGCCAGTTAAGGTGCCATCTGACGTGGAAGAACTGTGCCGGCCACCCTGCCATCATGGGACAAGTTCCCCTTATCTCCTGCATGTGTCTCCTGCATGTATGCCCTAGGATTTTTAGGACTCTATGACCTTGTCTTGGGCAGGTGGAGGGCAGGACAGAATTTGGGAGACAGACACAGGTGCCCTTGGTAAGTGGTCAGACCAACAAGTGCTACCTTAGTAGTGAACATGTACTGCAGGCCAGGTACCCTGCTACGTGGGCTCCGGCCTCCCCAGCACCAGTGAGTAGGCACTATTCTTCCTTCCAGACCAGGGAACAGATGCCTAGAGAGGTCGTGACACTAGTCCACGGCCACACAGTTGGTAAGTGTTAAGAGGTGGATTTGAGCCCTGGCCTGGCTCACACAAGGCCTAGTCTATGCACTTTGACACTGCAGATTCCCACTGTCTGGCCATCGCCTTTCATTCATGGAGAAGGAGGGCAGTCAGCCCCAGAGCAAGCAGCCAGCCCAGGGAGGGACAGGCAGGGGTGGGGCAGCTACGAGAGCCCAGAGCTCCCAGTTACCACCCTGCAGCCTTCTTTGAACGTCTTGCCTGGGCCAAGCGCATATTCACCTAATCACCTTTGCACGTGCCAATCTCCCCACCCCTTGTGGGATTGCCCAGGCTCCTTGATTCTGAAAGTCCTTCTATGACCCACCCTATTCTCCTCCCCCTATTCTCCCTTGCCCAGCACCCCCATTTGTTTCCTTCCTTTATCATACATTTACCTGTCTTACCTACTACTTATTTGTTTCCTGCCTTTTATGTGTCCACACTTGCTCAACTGTTATTTTAATAAAGAAAGGAATGGCATCTCTCTTATTCCCCACTGTATACTCAGAGCCTAGCACAGTGCCTGGGGTATGGTGGACACTCGAGATCTGCTTGTTTAATCACCCTCATTAGCTCCTTTCCTCAACTTCAGAAGGAAACTCGGCAGGCTGCTTGCTCACCCACCTAGAAGCTTTTACAAGGCCAACTCAAGACCTGTGAAAATCATTTAAAAGACTGAAGAGTTTGCCACCAAACAGTGTGCACCCCATGAAGGCTAACTGTGTTTACGCTCTTCAAAGGCATGCAGCCAGGCTGTTCAGCTCCTCATCCCACGAGGAACTATTTTGGATGAGCCTGAAGGTTACAGAGCACTTGCCCATGAGTACTTACACCCCCAACCCCTTGTGAGGTGGGCATTATTATTAGCTCCATTTTACAGAAAAGGAAACTGAGGCTCAGAGAGAAACATGACTTTCTCAAGGCAACGTGTCAGGAAGTGGTACAGCCCGCGCTAACGGACTGGCCGGCTCAAAGTTTCCTGCTGAGATGGTTCAGGCTCTTTCTGCCCCAAGCACTTTCCAACTTCACTGCTCAAAGTGTGGTCCTTAGAACAGCAGCATCACACCCCTCAGGAGGTGGCCAGAAATGCAGAGTCAAAGGCCCCAGCCCAGACTTACAAGGGGTTCCAGAAGGTCAACATGGGCCTCTGGGTCTATGGCTGGGCACAAGCTCCACTTCTACCCCACAACATCTTGGGTAATCTGGAGTGAAATCATTAGCCTCTCCTGGTCTCTCTATCTGTAAAATTCAGAGCTACCTCAGATTAACCAACAAACAAGATGCAAGTAGACTGCTTAGTGCAGTGCATGGCGCATATCCTGCAAGATGTCCCCTTTTATATACTGACCCTACAGAATAGGTCGGGCTCTGCTCCAAGCGCTTTCAAACCTCACTACTCAAAGTATGGTCCTTAGACCAGCAGCTTCACATTCCCAAGAGCTGGCCAGAAATGCAGAGTCTTGGGCCCCAGCCCAGACCAACAGGATGAGTCTCTGCATGTTCATGGGACCTGCAGGGAATTCATATGCATGTTACTGTTTGAGAAGCGCTGCTTTACGATGTGAACTCACTTAGCCTTATGAGGGAGTCACTTGTTTAAGCCCCATTTTATGAATGACAAAACCAAAGTAAGTGACTCTGAGAAGTTTACAAGTATGGGGTGGAGCTAGACTAGGACTTGGGAAGTAGGCTTTGGGGCCCATGTCCTTCACTGCAGGCTAGGCTGCCTCTCAAAGTACCAGGGCTTTTCATCTGAAGACCTCCACATGACAGCAGTCTGGCTATGGGAGCAGCAGGGAATGAGTTCTGTGGTGCTCAGGGGAAAGCAGACCCTTCTCCCCTCCCAGACTGTGGATTTTAGGATGGAGCCAGGGTCTGAAGCTGATCTCCTGCCACATGCTACGTTCTGAGGCCCAAGCATCATTCAGACCCTCCAAGTCTGTGTACTAGCTGAATCAACCGCGTTACAGCCCTGCACACTCCCCAACTCCTTCCAATCATAACCTTGCAGCAACACTGCACATCTTGACTATACAATGTCTCTTGGGTGCCTGGTATTCAAAAGGACTCATGGCAGTCTGGCCAGGCTGAAAACGTGCTGGTTTTGGAGACAAGAAGCCTACGATGGAATCGGCTTTACCACAAACAGGCTCGGCCCTTCTAGTCCTTCTGCTACCTGTTTGCCATACCATAGTCAGGACAAGCCACTCCAGCAAATAATTTATTTTTGCTGCAGGAAAACTCTCCCATGAGAAGCTAAAACTCCAAGCCTGCCTTGTATGTGGATTTGAAGTTCTGAGTTACCACATCCACATGGGGAATAATCCACAGATAAAATTTGACACAGAAATTGGACACAGGCTAGTAATATCCCTGAGGTGTCTGATGGAAATGAATGTAAAAGTACTCTGGGGAGAAACTGCAACCCAGACTGCATGGGAATTATACAGGAAAAAAACTCCTAGCTGAAGATGAGCTCACAATCAAAAATCACAAAACACTTGAGAAAATACAAGCTGGCACACTCAGCAAATGAGAGGATTACCTAACATGACTTCAAGTAATAGAAGAATCCAAAACAGACTCTAAAATAGGGGTGTTTAAAATAATCACAGAGAGGAAAAGAGACATGAACAATAAGAAAAGAACAGGAGAATATGGGGAAAAAATAGATTTGAGGAGAAAGAAACTTCTGAAAATGAAAAACAAGTCATGGACGTCTGCTAAGATCAACAGCAGATTAGGTGGTGCTAAAGGGAGCATAAATTAACTGAAAGACCTGAAGTAATTGACCAAAATGTAGCACAGAAAAACAGAGATGGAAAATATAACGGAGAGATTAAAGACAAGAATGCTAAGATTTAAAATAGGTGCTGTACGGATTCTATCAGGAGATCACAGAGAAGAGGAGAAAGTCAATATCGAAAGAGATAAAGGATGACAATTTAACAGAATTGATGAAAGATCCACTAGTTTCCTAAGGCTGCTATAAAAAATTACTATACATTTGGTAGCTTAAAATAACATAAACTTATTATCTTATAGTCCTGTAGGTCAGATGTCTGATGCAGGTTTACTGGGCTGAAATCAAGTTGTCAGCAAGGCTGCATTCCTTTGTGGAGGCTCTAAGGGAGAATCATTTTCTTGCCTTTTCCAGCTTATAGAGGCCACCCACATTCTTTGGTTCATGGCCCCTTCCTCCATCATCAAAGGCAATAATGTCCATCTGGGTCTTCCTCACTTTCTCAGTTTGTGTCACTCTGACAGATTCTTCTGCTTCTCTCAACTACATTTAAAGACCTTTGTGATTACCTTGAGCCCATCCAGGTAGTCTAGAATACTCTTGATTTTTAGGTTCGTTTACTTGGCGGCTTTAACTGCTTTTTTGAACCTTTATTTCCCCTAGCCATGGAACCTAGCATAGTCATAGATTCTGGGGATTTGGACATGAATATCTTGGGGAGAGGGCTTCTATCTACCACAGACTCGAATCCTAAAATTTAAGAACTGAAACAAAAAGCTAAGCAATAGAAATAACAGTACATGCATGCACAGACATATCATATTTGAACTTCAGAACATCACAGACAAAGCAAAATCTTAAATACATTCAGAGGAAAAAGAAAGCTTACCTACAGAGGGCAAATATTTGACTGGAGGCAAATTCTACATAGCAGAAATAAATTCCAGAAGGTAGCAGAATACAATTGTCAAGGTGCTGAGGAAAACAACTGTCAACAAATTCTTCACTCAGCTAAATTCACTTAAAAGGAAGGGTAAAAATTAGGCATTTTCAGTAAAAGAATGTTTACCATTTTTAGACCTTCACTAAAAGAACTAAAAAGGAATGTACTGCAAGAAAAA